CCTTTAGGTTTATGGGTTGTTCCCAGCCAGTTATGTAAATTTAACGTTTGGTTAAGATCGGTAAACAGGAAAATAAAAGAATGTAAGCTAGTTGCCTTTGGAAAAAAGATAACCCTATGAAATGATGGGACTCTCTGAGTAGAGGTCATAGTTCAATGAAACTGTTGAGGAGAGCTGATTAAGGAAGGGAATGATTTGTAGAAATTGGATGATGAAGATTTAAGATTCAGAATTATGATCAGAACAAATCAAAGGGTTTTAAATTTATGATCCCAGCAGCCATCAGTTATCTTTAGGCATCCAGCTAAAATGTGATATCATTGTCCATGGAGAATGATTCATATTTGGAACACCATTTCTGATTGTGAAGTGTTGTTGATTACTGTCAGTAGGAGTTTAAATTTCTTAAAAGGTTGTTAGAGGTTTCATGAATTATGAATCTTAACCCCCCAAAAACACTAAAACGTAGCCATCTTAGGCCAAACTCCAGCCAGTGAATGCATTTTGAAGAGTCACTTGTACTGTGCCATGGGTGGTGTTGAGGGAAAGAGAGGAGGAGGTTTGCCTGATAAAAGAAACAGGAATAAGAGGGAGAGGAGAAATGGGTCTCTGAAGAAGGCTGTGTGAGCCGGCCCACGATGGTTCCAGCCTGGGCCTGGGGTCAGGCCAGCCACAGTACGGAAAAGGTAGGTCCTGTTGAGCAGGAGTGAGGGGAGCCATGAAAGAAGCGGGGGAGATTCCTTACAGCCTGAGCCTTGATGTGGGCAAGAGGGAGGTTCTGACTGCTGGTTTGCTCCCTGCAGGCCTGACGGGCACTCGGGCAAAGGTAGACAGCATGCACGTTGGTGTGTGGAAAGAACACAGCATTTGAGGTCAGAAAACATAATGTTTTGACCTCGATCCAAGTTATTTAACCCTCTGGGCCTTAGTTTTTACATCTATAGAATAAGAATACGAGTCTTTGCCCTTCTGAGGTGACGGGGTTTTTGTGTGGCTCCAGTGTGGACGTGCACACTCTCAGGAGTCGCAGTGTCAGCTGTTACCTTGTCACGTGTGGCCAGAGGTCTGTATTACATCTGGACTTGTTTTTTTTTTTAAAAAAGGATGCTAGAAATGAACTGCCCTGTAATTACTGGTCTTTTCCAGTAGTAACATAAACACAATCCATTGCTCTCTCCTGTGGGGGAAATATTTTCAGAACAAACTGCAAATTTAAGTTTTTGTTAAAGCAATTTTTAAATGGAGTACAGTCTGGAAGCCATCGGCTGAGGGGCATTCTTCACAGAGAAGGTGCACTGACCTTTTAGATACATGGCAGAGCAGGAGTTCCTGTGAGTCAGCAGTCTGTGCTTCAAGTCCTAGGGGATTCCAGGCCAGGGAAAGCCACCCCACAGCTGCTTCAGACGCGCGCTCGCTCCCCGTCTGGGGGTCCTCGGGCTGGGCGTGGAGAGTGGAGGAAATACTGGAGAGCTTTCCCATGCCCTGGCCTGTCTCCACTGCATCTTCTTAAGAGCGTGGTCTCGCACTGTGCCGCCTTCTTGTTGAACGCATGTCTTCCTCCAGCTCCTACCTCAGCAGAATGCAGCCTCCATGAAGGCTGGGACTGGGTCTCTTTTGTTCACTGCCAGGAGCAGTTCCCGGTACATAGTAGGCACGCAGATATTTGTAAAAAGAGTGAACATTGGTTTTAATTGATGTATTGAAATAAATGTCTAAAAACAGACCTACAAGCAGTCGGTGCAAGAAGGTTGGTATGGAATAGGCATTAATGGAGCACCTGCTTCCCTCTGAAAAGGGGCGGCTGGGCCGTTACCGTTATTTTGGGGATCCCTTTTTGAACTCTTGGTGGGCATCACTGTTCACCTCTCCTTCTTTGTTTTTTTTAAACCCAGCAGTAACATTGAAGAAGATGTCGTCCTCAAAACCAACAAGCAAATTTACTCCCAGCTCTTGAGAGCTACTGCTAACAAAAATGCAACTCTTGTGGAAAGAATCGACGTTCTCATCCATTTGCTGGATCAGCTTGCCCGTGGCGGTGCCAGTGCCGTTCAGTGACTCACGCCCCGGCTGTGGCCACAGGGATGCTGTCAGTGCCTTCTGCACTCGGGGGCTAGTGTGTCCATTTGGTGCTTCGTTTCATTAAATATGAGGGAAATATCCACTTAAAACAGGCACAGCAGTGGAAACAGAGTTCTCATTTCCCGTGACAGGCACAGCACGGCTGAGTCCTTTGTCTTCTCCTCTGAAGTGCTAAAACAGAATCAGACTTAACGCTCCCAGCATTTGTTTCTTGGAGAAGTACCTGGTACCTCAATATTAATAGACTTGCTGTGATGCAATTACAGTTTTAAATATTTTTCAAGTATGTTAAGCTACATGGGTTTAAGATATAATTATTTTGGATAAATGTTACTTTGGTCAAGGGAACTCTTATCCAAATGATTTTAGTGGTTCAAGTGGGTTAAAGAAACTTCCTGTACATCTACGTTTCCTTCTGAATCACACAGAAAGAAGGCTGCCTTTTTAGAAGCTTCAGTGCGGGATTTTTCAAAGGCTAGCCATCGTGCAATTCTCTGTATTTAGTGCATGTTCTGAAGGGTCTGCTTTTCTGTGACTTTGTATGACAGTTGATCAAGAATAGGTACTACTACTTTTTTTTTTTCGTTTTAAACTTGAAACTGTGAATAAGGTAAGAAAACTATTTTGAATAAATAAATTATTTATTTAAAATGTCTTTGTATTTTTCCATTTCACATTCTGCTCATTGAGTTTTTATTTGAACTGGTTTAATTAATAAATTTTACAAAGTAAAAATTAAAAACACTAAACATCAAATTCTTCATCCACTAAATTCTCACTGGAACATTACACCTATTGCTTGCCGCTGCTGCCTCATGGCTCTGGTCCAGTTGCGTAGACACGCTGTTCTCCAGTGCCCGCAGTGTACACTGCTGGACTTGTCGTGGTTAGTAATCTCAGTTTCACGAAAGGCAACGTAACCTAGAAATCAAGCATGCTCTCTCCTGTCAGGGGGACGGTTTGGGTTGATGTGTGTGACCCTTTGTAGACAAGAGCCTGCCCTTACACGTCCACGGGCCTGAGTGCAGGGGGAGGTGCTGCCGACGACTCCAGGAGTGCGTCTGCGGTCCTGTTCACCGCGGATCCTCCGGGTGACTGGCAGCCGCACCTCTGGAGGAATCTGAACTGTACGAGAGACTGTCCGGAGCACACTCGTTCTGAGCTGAGCTTTTACAGACTGCTCTCGCACGCCGAGACCGTCAGGCGTTCCCCTGGACCGTGCGTTGACGTCCGTCGGCTTGGCAGAACTGTCCCGCCGTTTGTCCGCTTCCTTGTTATTTAGTTTGCATTGTCCTTGGGACAGATCTGCATCAGTTTTCAAACGCTAGTCATCGAAGCCTTTAAAGTTTTGACTAAATTGTAAAGCAGTTGTACAAAATCAGCGACATCCCGTATCAGGACGGCTCCTCCTGTCTCGCCTGCGGCAGCACGCACAGAGAAGGGCGCTGTCTTCGCTCTGCTGGTCACACCTGGACATTTCCACTGATTACATCTAATTTTGGATTACTGAATTAATCCAAAAGGATTTTCTGCCTATGCAGAAATAAGCAGCGGTTAGATGTTAGAGTTCTGTCTTCTAGCCTCTGTCTTGCCGAGCAGCCTTTCAGTCAAGAGGAAAATTTGTTTTTAAGCAAGAAGATATAAATTATATCTATCTTCACTTGTCAGAGCAATAATATGAAAGTCCCTACAGGGGAAAAAAGGTCCTTTTAAAAAGTTTTTGTAGGGGCTGGCCCGGTGGCATAGTGGTTAGGTGCACACACTCTGCTTCGGCGGCCCGGGGTTTGCAGGTTCAGATACCTGATGCACCGACGCACCACTTGTCAAGCCACGCTGTGGTGGCATCCCACATAAAATAGAGAAAGATGGGCACGGATGTTAGCCCAGGGCCACTCTTCCTCAGCAAAAAGAGGAGGATTGGCATCGGATGTTAGCTCAGGGCTGATCTTCCTCACAAAAAGAGAAAAAAAAGTTTTTGTAATCTGATTTTAAAGCTTCTTGAAGTGCTTGTGTTTTAGCTGTTCCTTTAGAAGAACTGTGGTATTTGTAGTCTGATCATTGAGACGACGGAGTCTTTTTCAGTTAATTTCAGTGCCCAAAACATTACACAGACGTTGGGGTTTGTATTAAGAAGCGGTAATAGCTATTTTATCTGGAAGTTAAAGGGACATAATGCCTATCCTAGAGATAACTGACATAGGAAAAATAAAGTTATCCAATTAGCTTCAACAGTCTTATTTTGGTTGTTAGCCCTCAGATCATAAATCAGCTGCCATATAAAGTGTTTCCTGCTCTGAAGGGAGAGAAGCACATTATATGAATTCTAGCGAGCCAGACAGCTGTGCTGTTCAGGACTGTTTGGGATGCAGGCCTGTGCTCAAACGAGAGAGCACTGCAGGAATGGAGAGCGAGTGCCCGGGCACCAGGCTGCACTGGGGAGCAGGGGCAAGAGCGGCTGCTGCGTGAGACCTTTGGCAGGACACAGCTAGGGAACTTGAGTTCCTTCGACTAGAAATGTGCACGGCAGTATCTGGCCTGCTGCTGACAGAGTTATGAAGATCAAGAAATACATGCAAAAACTTTTTGTACACTGTCAAGTATTAGAAAAATATAAATTGACAGGAAGTTTGGAGTGGTTAATTCGAATTCTGTGACCTTTTCCATCGAATCCCCAAGTTTTCATGCAGTAACATTTCCATGCCCTTAGCGGGCGGCATCTTCTGTGATGGACCCCATGGCTATGGCCGCCTTCCCATCTACCCATGAAATCGGCGGGAGGAGGGACAGACAGTGTCGGGAACACGGCTACAGAACCCTGGAGAGAATGGACAGCAAAGACAGCGATTCCTCAGGGTTCCTTTTTTTTTTTCAACCTTGCCTAAAAAAATTGTAAAATTATTTGAATTATTTTTTTGACTGAGAAATTGACTTTTAAATCAAGTATTTTAAAAGTTTAAGTAATGCTTTTTCCATGGGGTTTTAACTTAGGGAGCCCTCGTCACTTTGGTTACTAAAACTCTGGTTTGTTTTCTTTGTAAAAGAAATCAGACTTTTTCTCTTAGAAGAGAAATCCTTTGACTCGCTCCATTTGCCTACTTTTCTCATCACATATTCAGGGTGGAGGCATGGACGTCACAAACGTCAAACCACTTGTCTGAGATAGATTGCTTGGGAAATAGGCCATTTGAAGGAAGCCAAGAGTGCTGCTGTTTGTCCTTGTCATTGACGACTTTCCAGTATGCATTGCCTTTGAAGAAGAAAATGGAGTTGTGTGCGTAGGAGTAGTAAGCTGAATCTATATTTCTGAAAGGATGGTTTTGTGGCTCTATTCCTGGAAAAACTTCAGTAATCTTCCTTGGATAAGAATCAAGTACTTGATTTCTATTGACATCAAATGCAAACACCTGCAAAGCAAATAAGAAAGTAAGACTGGCTTTTCTGAAAATCATTGATTTTTAGGTTAATTTATAGTAATGAGGTAAGTAAATCTGTGGTTTGCACCAAATTCTCTGGGCTTGAAGTTCCTAATAATTATCCATATGATGGGACGATCTGCCATTGCCTTGTAGGTCTGCCGTAATGAGAAGAGCTTTTAACTAAGAACTTGGTCATCTGATAAATTTCAGTTAGGGATAACAGAAGCAACACCCGGCTGGGAAGCCGTCTACTTACGAAGGACTCTTTGAAGAAGTAAATTAATTGCTTTCTTCGGTCATAAAAGGCAGTGTCCAGGGGACTTGGGACGCCAGGAAATCCTTCTGAAATCAATTTGGGGTAGCTTTTTCCTCGTTCATCTTCTGTGTGGGCCTGATCATTGTCACTGTCATACCTCCAGTACTGACTTCCTGAGAGCCAAACAACAAGTTTTAACGTGGCTCATTACTGTTAAATCGCAGGAAGCGACAGAGGACAGCTTGCATCCCGGGCAACTGTGGAGTTCTGCCGCCATCCCAGGACGGAGCTGGCCTTGCAGCACCCGACTGAAGCCTCCGCGCACATGAATGACTCCCCAGGTCTGGAATTACTTCCAGATTTGACCCCAGGAATCCACTTTTCTTAGGCATCACTGCTGCAGTTAGAATGCTGGCTGCCTTTCATAGCCTCCCCCAGCCCTTTGGCGCTCATTGAAAGCAAAACCAAAACAACAAAAATCATGTGGTCTTTTTCCCATAAGCATCATATTTTTCTTCTCTTCCTTTATAGTCTAACGATCTTCCTTCTGTTAGGGCCCATGGGTTGTCCTGAATCATTTTCCTATCCTAATCAATATAAGCCCTCTTTTTGCAGGAAAAAAATCATGAAAATCATTATCATGAAATCATTATTAAATTCTACCTTTTTCCAGAGTTTAGAATCATTTAGTTCCACCAGCAGCCCCATTTTACAAATGGGGAAACTGGAGTAGAGAAAGTTGAAGCAATTCACCCAAATTCAGACAGCCTAGGTGGACCCAGGCATACAACCCAGGGCTCCCCAGTTCCACCCAATGACTTACCCCCTCGGCCTATGAAATAGTATCTTGGATTTTGCTCTGTTTCACTTCAAGTTCCCAATGCTAATTTCATGCTCTGAAACAGCACAGGATTATTCTAAGCTTTCCTTATTAGCTCCTAATCCTGAGTATCTGGCATATTGTCAGCATACAATAGAATAAATCCACTGAGTTAGATCCTCTTGTGTTCACAACTCACAAAACATTGCAAGGGGTTACGTTCCTTAGCAACCAAATAGTATATTTGGGAAGGTTTGCCATTGAGAAGAGTGTGACGTACGTCCAGCCAGAGGTGCAATTCACTCTAACTGCAATGTTTTTTGAATTTAAAATATTCACAGCAAGTTAAATTTAAGATGTTTTCAAAGCTCCAAGAATAAAATACAGCTGTATTATAGCAATCCCCTATGATGACCTAATTCTACAATTAAGATTCCTTGAGTGTTGCCAATACAAATTCTAGCTCCGGACTTCTTACAGCCTTGAAAGATGTGCTTCCAACTCGGAAAGATCCAGACTATAAAAGTCCACCCTGAGGCAATTGCTTTATGTAACTGAACTTAAAATAATTCTTCCTTTGTGTGATGAGAAGAGACATTAAGACCAAATTTATACTCAGGTTTCTTATGGCAAAATTTGCATTCAATGTTCTTTCAGTTTGGCTCCTGCCTCATTAACTCTTTCTGAGCAATTTAAAGCCACATGGCTATACAACTAGGATTCAGGCAGAGTCCGTGCACACAACTCTCTGGGCACAGGCTCTGGGAAGGGGAAGAAAAAGCAGTGCCACAAAATCACGGTTTGTGATTGGACTCCACTGCCTCTGGGACACAGGCTTGTGGCCCCGGGCATGGCGGCCTCTGAGCTAGCGGAAGTGGCAGCAAGAACGCCCCAGGCCTGCCCTCTCTGTGTTCACCAAGGCCAGCAGGTCCCCCCTTCCATCTCTGCCTCCCCACAAAACAGTGATCCTCCCCGCTCAGAAACTGCCCCTGTTCCGGGCTGCCCTCGGGACGAAGTCCAGCGCCTGACCCTGGTGTTCCAGGCTCTCTGTGCTCAGGCTGACCCCGTCTTCCCAACCGCATCTCGCCGTGTGAGCACCCTGCCACTCCTCCGTGGGCTCGGCTGTCCCCCAGATACGCCTTTTTCATGCCCGGCTCTAAGGCTTTGCTTCTGCTTCCTGAGTCTGACCAGCTCCATTCCCTACCCCCCGCCCCGTCACACACACCACTCCAGGGTCCTTTCCTGGGCACTCCAGGTCCTGCCCATCCTTCAAGTCTGGGTCAAGCCCTGATGTGGGTGGTGCCCCCATCTGACTCCAGGTGGCAGTCATCATCTCGTCTGTTCATTCTACTCCTTCAAAACATACTTTTCCTGTTGGAAGGCTGCTAAGGTTTTTTTCTCTCCAGAATCAGATTAAAACTTCTGAAGGGAGCGCCCTTGCTTACAGTTCTTTGGCAACCACCTCAGCGCCTAGCACCGTCCATTCACTCATTCATTCGTTCACTTGATGCATTCAGTGCCTTCTTAAAAAGATGTGGCTCACAGGGCTTACAGTCTGGTGGAACAGACAGGAATTAAGTACGTAACTGCAACAGCATTACAACAGATTCCCTGCTAGGGGCTCAAAATTCTGAAGGTTGTGAATGCACTTGTGTAATAAAGGAAATAGAGCCACCCATAAGAACCTCTACCTTTAAAAAAATAACGTTCGTCTCTTCTCCACGTCCAGATGTGGACAAAAGCGTCTATGTTTTGTGTTGGGATTCCGTGCCAGCCAACGAGGATTTGGATAGGATCCCCGTAGCGTGTCCGGTTGTTTCGATTTTCATAAAGCCAGTACCAGCTGTTGCGGAAAAAATATGTGCTGAATCTCACCATCACTTCTCCATAGTGGTTTCTCTCTTTGCGAATCCAGTCAAACGCAGTATCAAATGATCCTTCACATGAACCTTAAAAAAGAAAAGAAAAGTCTAGCCACTTGTCACCTCCTGCAAAAACCAACTGTTCCTACTTTCATGTGTGACTTGAATAGAGACAACTGCAAAGCTGGAGTTTTCTATTAAAACATCTTAGAGCAAGACACCATATGAGATTGGAAATAGACTCTCCCTGGCTGAGTGGAGGCAGCTGGAGGGACCCCCCCCCCCCCCCCGGCGGCCCACGACAGTCCTGGCTCATGTGAATTGTTCTGGCTTCATTATTAATGCAGTTCCCGGGAAAGTGTCTCAGTTTGGATGCTAGTTACATGATCACCCTAAATATAGCTGATGCCTCTGCTGATGGCCGATCTGACGTCACTAGAGGGAAGGAGTTTGGTTCTGGGCACACACAAGAGTAAGATTTCCACTGAGGGAAATAAATGTCGTGGCATCTGTTATTCTCCAAAGATGCTGAGTGCCGACAACAGGACGGTTTGAACAGAACAGAAATGGGATGGTCCCTGTTTTAAGTGGAAAAGTGGAGGGTAAGCTTTCCTTCCCCTCAGTCTCTGTGCTAAATCATTAATCACTTCAGTTAAATTATTAACCACTAGTACGTTGGCCTGAACAATTAAATAGAGGTTAAATCTTATCCTGGCAAGACTATGCTGTTCTTTGCCTTGGGATTACAGTAAACTTCTTCCAGAGGATTCCAGTTCCTGTAGCTCTCATGGGATACCATGGCCTGGCATGCACTTGTGGCCCACTTGTGTTTAGAAAACCACCGCATTCTCCTCCTTCCTCCCAGGAATATAACGTAGCGCGTGAAAGAGAGGACGCAGGAGGGAATCTCCAGGGAGTGGGTTTTGCTCTCCACCAGTGGCTAGTCTGGGCATGTCCACCTGTCACTAAGAGAATGAGCATCACAGAGCTAGAAGGCAGCTGCTCCTGGGTGCAAGTGACTTGCACTATGTTGTGCTCCTGGGGGCAGCCTCCCACTGAGGGGTGAGTGGGTCCAGTCAGGCTTTGGAATCCTGAGTGCCCTCTGTGAGCTGTGAGGATGAACTCCTCCAGAACAGTCTTACCATACAGTCTTTGAATTGCTTTTCTGTCTGACCAGTCCAACTCAAATGCGGGCTCCTGGGGGATGTAATTTGGCTGCATTATGGATCCTGTCCTGTAGGTGTGAGGCAAGCCAAGGACATGGCCAATTTCATGGACGGCCACCTGGAAGCAAACACAAACCACAGGTGCGGCACCACCCAGTGTCTGAGCACCACTGGGTCCCATCCCGTCACAGAGGGCAGGCCTGTGCCTCGAGAGGAGAGGCACTTGTTAAGGAGAAGGGAAAGACAGTGAGAATCGGGGAACTTTCTCAGAAGGATGGACACCTCCCTGGAGGAGCTCCAGCCCCCGCTGCGCTGCCCTTTGCCATGTCACTCCGAGCAGTGGGAGACCACTTACTTTGAGAAGGCTGATGCCCGTGTCACTGGTGGGAGGTGTGAAATGCTCATCGTCGTCAAAGTGAATATCGCCCAGGCGCCAGGCGTGTGCAAACTCCTGCCCACTCCCGTCAAAAACCCGAGGACAGCCCAGGTGCCGGCCTGGCGAGGGGAGGGTGTGTCAGGGTGAATTAGGAGTGCCCACTGCACAGATGCCTTACCTCCGGGTCCTGGTGGGGTTCCGGCTTCCAGGGCCTTGTAGTCCAGCGGCAGAAGCAACAACCCCTCAACGTGAGGAGTGCATTAGACATGGGTGGTGTGTAAACAGTGTGTGTGTCAAAAAGTCTAAAGACTATTAGAGCTCGTCCCAAACACTGTGGGAGCCGAGAGGATGGAGGCTGTTCCACTCTGTCGGGAAGGGTGGGTGTGGTGGCGTGGGGGTGCTGTCAAAAGGCTTATGGAGGAGCCAAGATCTGAGCTGGGTCCTAAGAGCTGAGCTGTCATGAAATAAAGGCAGGGCATCCCAGTGGTCACATCCCTTACGTTTGTAGTTTTTCAATAAACTGTGCCCTGTATTTCTCACAGTGGGAGGTTAATCCAGTGAGACCAGCACCTCTAGTCCCCAGATGGCGCTGCAGGGAAGTTACCTGGTCCAAACCCACCCAGCTAGGAGGTGGGGGGGCTGGGCGAACCCCACCCCAGCCACTGGCTCAGGTCCGTAGACTACACTATTTCTCCACAGGAGGAGGGAGGGGAGGCGTCAAGTTAGGCCTGGTTTACTTGTACTTTGATGAGCACACTGAGTTCTTGTGAGCAATGCTCACTGGGCTGACCTGCTCTGAGACAAGTAGAGGGACCCGCATCAGTGTCCCGGTGTGACCACTCTGGGCTCTGTGCAGGGTGACATGCCTGTCCCCTTCCCAGCAAGTTGTAAGCAAGATCTCCAGAGGGCTTACAAGATGCCCATGCCCTGACAGGTGCCAGCTCAGAACACTCCAGGAGGCGGGGTTGGTGCCACCGCTCTGCAGGTGACAGGCAAGCAGGAGGCCAGGGTGGGGTGACTCAAGTCAGCCTATTTGACCCGAAACTTCCATTATGCTAACTGGGCCCAACCTCAGGCTATGCGGGACGGCAGGGAGGCACACGTCTGCTCTCCTTACCACGTCCAAAACCCAGCTTTATGTCAACCGTGGCTCCAGGGCCGGTGAGGTCCTCCTGGAAGTCCAGTGGCATCACCTCGCTCCACATCCGGAAGGCCAGTCTGAAGATGTACCTCTGCTCGTCCACGGAGAGCTGGCTGCTGTAGCCCTCGCCCACCAGCCTCCAGGTCAGGGTCTTTTTGGAGAAGGCCCGGGGCCCCCCAGCGGGCGGGGGGTCCTCGGGCTGCCCGCCGGGCGCGGGGAGCAGCGCCTGCAGGAAGCGCTTGGGGCGGGCCTTGGGGAGCGGGCCCCGCGGGGTCGCCAGGGTCCCGGGCGCGGGGCGCGCCGCCTGCAGCAGGGGCCGCGTGTCGGGGACGCCGCAGCGCGGCCGGTTCATGGCCGCCAGCGTGGCCGCGTCCAGCTCCCCGCTCGCCGGCAGCGCGTTGACCTTCTGGAACCTGCGCATCGCCTCGACCAGGGCGGCGCCCGGGGGGCCCTCGGGTGGCCCCTCGGGGCTGGGATCCCGGGACCCCGGGGGCGTCTCTGCCCAGCCGTATTTGGACAGGAACCGCTGCGGGGGAGAAATGCACGGGCTGCGAGTACGAGTATGCTCCACAGGTGTGTTTATCTATGTTATCTACTTGTCTTAGATAACATACAGGATAGTCTATATTTGCATATTGTTATGCATATTTGTATTTACGTTGTGTACTTACCTGTCTTGTGAAGCATTTATATTCCGTGTTTACCGGTTATTTGTGCGAGGTCCCCCACCTGAGAAGGTGTGTGTGCACATTGTGTGTGCATGTGTATGTACGTGGGCCCATGTATGCATGTGTGTGCACATATGCGTGTGCACATGTGCGTGCATAGGAGTGCGCATGTGTGCACGCACATGGGCCGGTGTGTGCATGTGCGTGGTGCTGTTCTCGGGGCTTCTCCTACCTGCGCCGCGAGGAGGTCGGCGATGGGCTTGGCCCGGCGCAGCGGGGACGGCTCCAGGTCCGAGCGGTCCCGGCTGTGGAAAAGGGTCTCCAGCTGGGCGGGCCGCGGGGCAGCGAGCCAGCAGAGCAGCAGGGTCGGACGGAAGATGGAGGCAGCGCGCATGGCCATCGGAGCCCCGCTCTCCCGCCTCTGCTCCGTCCCCGTCTCCCTCCTCGGAGAGCAGGCCCGGAAAGCCTTTATAAGCAGCCACAGGGAAACGACAGGTTTCCAAGCCCTTCTCACCCAGGCCTGAAGTGTGCCCAACAGCAGGCCCTGGATGTGCTGCCCTTTGAAGACCCCAGGACCACCCCTCTTGCTGGGCTGAGAATGTCCCCCCTGGCAGCCCCCATGTTTGCCACATCCTTGGGTAATTACATCCCCAACTTGCAGGCGCCTGCAGATTCCATCTCCATGGTGAGGGGCGTGAGGGCAAGTCTGCCGCCCAAGTGCACTGTGGAATGGCTGCGAGGGTCCCTGGGTCCCGTTGGGAGAGGCCAAAACCTCGCATGCAACAAGCTGAGACTCAGATCTGCACCTGCAACTTAACAACCATGACGTTAGTTTGCTCATAGTTTGGGTCCAGTTTTTTTTCTTGGTGTGCTGGGGTTTAGGGATTTGTTTGTTTCTCTAACTTATTTTTTGCTTATTGTTTTTGTTTCTCTTTATAAAAGGAATCATAGTCAGTATAGGAGAATGTAAATTTTAAAAGTACAGAGAATAAAGGAGGAAATCCTATGATTCAGATGGTAACATTTCGGTGAACATTCTTTTTTTTTTTTTCCCCCCCGGAGGAAGATCAGCCCTGAGCTAACATCCATGCTAATCCTGCTCTTTTTGCTGAGGAAGACTGGCTCTGAGCTAACATCTATTGCCAATCCTCCTCCTTTTTTTCCCTTTCCCCCAAAGCCCCAGTAGATAGTTGTATGTCATAGTTGCACATCCTTCTAGCTGCTGTATGTGGGACGTGGCCTCAGCATGGCCGGAGAAGCGGTGCGTCGGTGCGCACCCAGGATCCGAACCCGGGCCGCCAGCAGCGGAGCGTGCGCACTTAACCGCTAAGCCACGGGGCCGGCCCCCTCGGTGAACAGTCTTGCAGATACATATATTGTGTACAAGTGTAGAGAAATATCTGTGTATAATTTTACATAAATCATATATTCTCTATTCTATTTTATTCCTTAAAACTCAGTGCACGGTCAGGGGCATCTTTCCGTGTTCATGAATACAGTATTTATCATTTGTCATTCTATGGGTCAAGGATTTTTATATGAGGATAAACTAGAATCACCTGAGGTTCTAGAACATGCCCTGGCCCACACTGCCCCTCTCAATTTCCCCTCAGGAAGGAGCCTCTTGGAGGAGGGGGACAGGAGGTGGCAGAGGACGGGGAGGAGAAAATTAGGCAGGGCCAGGTTCAGCTGCCCAGAATTTCTAACTGGTCGCGTCCAGAGAGCCTGAGGGAGGTGACTAAGGTCCCCAGGCTCTGTGAGCGCAGAGAGAGCTCAGAATTCCCGTGTCCAAGGTCTGGTAAGAAGAGCAAGCGTGCGAGTGTGTGGGGCTCTCCTTCAGTTCTTCATCATTCAGCAAATACTTGGTACCGTTCCAGGTACTGGAACACGGACATGAACATGATGAACCCATTCTCTGCCCTCGTGGAACTTATCTTCTAAGTGGGGGAGACAGACAATAAACAAAACAATGAATGAAAAATTCACATAGTGACGGGGCTAAGAATATAACTAGGGAAAGTGAGTGCCCTGAGCGGGTGGGGAGTCAATATGAAGGTGGACCGACAGACCTCTTGCAAAGATGCAATTCTGCAATGAAAGAAAAATAAGGACACAGTCACATGTGATTGGGAATTTGGGGGCGATGTAGGCAAAGGAAAGGACACAGGCAAAGGCCCTGAGGCAGGACCCCCTGGGAAGGCAGTGTGGCTGATGTCAGTGAAGGGGAGGGAGGTGGGAGGTGAGGATGGAAAAGAGGGGTGCATGGGCAGATGATGAAGAGCCTGTAGGTCAGATAATTTGGATTCTACCCTAAGTTCAGTGGGCATCTTTTGAGCAGGAGAGTGACTTTATTGATTCATGATTTAAAGAATCCTCCCAGCTGCTCTACTGAAGGTAAATTAAAAAGGGTGCAGCCCAGAGGCAGGTGCAGACTGCACCCTCTGGCCTGGCAACCCCTCCTGGGTGCCCCAGCACCCCTTCTGTGCTGGGTTGTCTGATGGCCCTGTAGCCTGAGACCCCTCACTGGGCTCTAGGACACTGGGGTTCCTGGGGCGGGCACAGTACTAGACTGTGAGCCCGGGGATCCATTCCAGGTTGGGTCCCTGGACCAGGAGTTTGGCCTGACGCTGGTGCTGCAGTGGCAAGGCCAGCTCCTGTGACTCCAGGAGGTACCTGGGGCACTCACCGAGGTGCCTGCACAGCTCCACTCAGCTCCTGCCAGCTCGGAGGCTTCTGGGGCCAGCCATGTGCCAGGTGGACACTGGGTGTCCTGCTGTGTGGGGGGCATGAGTATGGTGTGGGGACCCTTCTGATTACTAAGGGCCACTCACTCCAGCTGTGTCCGCAGATCCTCACTCCTCCCACCCCCCGGGCTTCCTTACTGCACCCTCCCCCTCGCTCCTGTGGACATGATGTCCCAGCTCCCTGAACCATCACCACTGAGTGTGAGAGCATCGTGGTCACTCCCCCGGGAGGGGGACCGGCAGCGGGGAGGGAACCCTGGGTTAGCAGTCAGGAGACCAGCGTGGTTCAGGGCTTGGAATTTCTCCTCGTTACCCTCGCCCCCACCTTGCACTTTCCATATTCAGAAGCAAACCCCAGGGATCAGATGTAATTTTATGTATTTCAGTGTGGATCTGTACAAGATAGACTATTTGGGAAAAAAAGGAGGGGGCTGGCCCCGTGGCTTAGCGGTTAAGTGCACGCACTCCACTACTGGTGGCCCGGGTTCGGATCCTAGTCACGCACCGATGCACCGCTTCTCCGGCCATGCTGAGGCCGCCTCCCACATACAGCAACTAGAAGGATGTGCAACTATGACATACCACTATCTACTGGGGCTTTGGGGAGAAAAAGGGAAAAAAAGGAGGAGGATTGGCATGGATGTTAGCTCAGGGCTGATCTTCCTCACACAAAAAAAAGAAAACAAAAGGAAAAGCACACTACCATTATCATGCCTTAAAACTTAGTACTAACCCTTTCATATTACCAGATTTACCCGGGCACCATCCACATTTTCAGCTGTGGGCCTCATTCTTTATTAAATTTTAAATTAGCTTTTGATTGGAAGGCACATCCTGAAAACTCTGTGTGAAACAAATACTAAGAAGATGAAAGGCAGAATGAAATTACTTGGAGTGGCACACAGGCATTTTGTCTGTCAATTATGTGTCAGTCATATGTTATATATATATCTAGCTAGTTATGTATATGTCAGTTATAGTTACCAGTTTGCTTAACCATATCAACATATGCCAGTGAACGTATATGTGAGTCATGATAAACGGCTACTGGTGTCCCTGTGTGGCTAAAACAGTGCATCACTCTCCAGTATAAGGCATCATTCACCTCCCCACTTGACTGGGCTTTTCTTCTATTTTTTTACTGAAATCTCAAACTATGTTTTGATTAGAAGACAAACGTTAACCTTTTTCTCTGGGGGAAACCAAAACCTGTAAAGGTGCAAGACTCAGAACAAAATTATTCAAAATATTATCTGGACATTCTGTCTTTCCTGGGAGGCTAACCTTCTGAACATGGAACGGAACGGAGAACTCTGTGACCGAGAGCTGGAGTCCTGAGGGCTGATGTCACACAGCCCACGTCCCGACGGGTGTGAAAGGCCCAGCCGGGGCCTGTCCGTGCCGAGCTCTGGCCCCAGACTGGGCTTCTGCAAGTCAGGTCTGAAAAGCTGCATGACGGTGCTCCCTGACGCTGACGGCACGCTCCCTCTCAGGGGTCAGAGGTGTGAGGGGTGTATGACTGAGGGTCTTGTGCCTAAAATTATTATTTTTTCTAGTGTATCGTGCAGTTGGCCTCAGGCACTCAGGACGACTGGACTCAAAGAAGTGTGCGCACCGGTGGACCGTTTGCTTTTCCCCAGAGCCCTCTTCTCCTCACTTACTACTACACCTCTGAACAGACTGGCTTCTCAAGGCTCAGCGAGTTTGATTAACCCAGTTGCTTATTCCAGGTAAACTGGAATTTGAGGAAATCAGTTGGATTTAGGAGGAAAAAGGGCAGAGGAAGGCGTGTGACCTACAATGAAGAGCGAAGGAGGGACAAGGGCTCCTGGACAAGCTGGTTCTTGGTCTGTGCAGCACACTCCCCATCTCTGAGCCTGGGGAAGAGTTTGGCCGGAAGCTTCTAGAATCTCCTTAAATGCTGAGATGGCATGGCCCAGTTGTCAGTGGGAGGATTGAAAACTCGTTTTCCCTAAAACACATATCATTTACAAACTGGGTTTGCATATTCTCAGCATTGCACAACATAACGTTTTGAAAAATCGTCCCCTTAGTTATTCCCGCAGGAGATTTTTCAGGCTGATGTACTGCGAGGGGTCAACTCTGACTCCAAAAATGAATGTATTTCAGGAGGCCCCGGGGTTTGGGAGCAAAATCATTTGCTCAAGTGCAGGCCTGCTTGTTATCTGCAGCTGCACACGACTGCCTGTGCAAGGGAGGAACAGGCTCCTCCCGCCTTCTGTCCTTCTGATCGCCTGCTCTCTAGACTTTGCATTTCAGCCCCTTTTCATCCACAAATAAGCCCTTTACCCAGCCTGGGCAGCTTGGGATCCTAGGCCTCTCTGGGAAGATTCATTATGTTTTACACACACAGGGCCTGTGGTTTGGGGTTCATTCTTCCTCCACTAAAGGAAGCATATTGAGGGTGCTGGGTGGCTGTGTGGGGAGCGAAGCCACGTTGACTGCTTGCCTGCACTTCTCTGCCCAGGTGTGTGCTTCACTTCAACATAATGATTGAGATGATTGATTTAGAGATTATGATTGCCGTTGGTGGCGGCTTACTGATCGCCGCATTTCTGCTGACGTGCTGTGTCCTCTGTCTTTACTGCAAAGTGGCCGACACATTGAAGTGAGTGATGTGGGTAACAGT